GTATCCCTTGTGGTTGCAAGATTCCGTAGTGTTTATCTTCGTGGGTATTTCAATATTGGTATCCATCCATTCGAAACGCTCTTCGCAACAATAATTCTTGAGTTCTAGGCTAAAAAGTGAACTTCTATATCTCCTCATCGTAAGACATCTCAATCAATAATCGCTTTTGTATTGATAACTAGTAATTAGTGTGCTTAGTTTACATGCCGGTCCTAAGTCTTGAGAAAAGGTAGTGTTTATCATGTACTTAGCAGCCCTACATAATGAAAAGTAAACCGATCGCCACCGAAAATTTGTAGCACAGGAAGAATAAAATTATTCATTTCTGGAATAGGGAAGACTACTCAACTCCAGGAGAGATCAAACCGACAGACAAAATCCTTCTGGGAAGCAGTAGGCTGATGTTTCTTTTATCGATGAAAGCTAAAGTAAGCGGTGGCACTCCATTCCTATCACATATCTTAGCAATCTCTACAAACTGAGTGACTGACATCCTACTACCTTACGCTATTCATAACCTCAATACTACTCACCAGCAGTTACCACGAGAGACAGAAACTAAGCAGTATGTATATCCTTTGATGGATAGCTGGATATCACGCCTGTGCCAGAGATAACGTCAGTCAGCAAATTCCATATGAGCTATTTGTACCCATGTCGAAATTTAATCAGTCAATTTATCAGGGCTGACGCAACTTCCTGAATGCGTGCAGTAGTCAACATGCTTCGCTCAAAATATTCAAAATAGAAGTCAGTGCACACCAACCCTGCAGCATCACCTTACATTTGACAGGGGCAAATCACATGTCGAACATATTAAGATTCATGCTAAGTGTTTAGAAGACTGCATATTGCATCCAGATTCACCTAGAAGGACAACATTACAGGCATACTCTAAATTAACTAGACCGTTTTCTGGTAACAAGTCAATCCCTAAGTCACCAAATGCAGGTAAGTTCACTTACACCATTATACCTATGAGGAAATCAAACAAAAAGGGCATTTTTGACGGACACCACCTGTTGTCACCACTTCAGGAGACAACTCTCACATGCAGTTGCATGAATTCGAATAGCATACCCTGACTATTGAAATATACTTTCTCGGCACTCCGTTCACGACTAGATATTGCCACAGCACCTCTCAATCGACGGGGTCAGATGTCTCCTCAAAGTCAAAAAATATGTCAAGTGTTGAATGCCGGTAGGTATGACTACATTCATAATCTGCCGAAGTTTGAAGATTTAATCAATAAGCACTCTTTCTGCCTAAAGAGTAGCTAGTTTTCTCGGGATATCCTATCCATTTGATCCTGGCTGGTAAGTCTACCTAGACTGGGGGAAAATGACAAGATAAAAGTTTTGAGGAATCTGTAAGAGCGGATGGACGTGGATGTGGAGTCTCCGAATCGTGAAATGGCGAGTCAGTAATCTACTGCGGTCACCCAAACGGCAACCGAGAGTACACATAGGATTTAGCTACCGTGATGTCAGCAACAATATTGAAGGCAATTTTACAGTGGGAACTAATCTCCTCCAGGATCATGACAATAAGTTTCAAAATATAAGGAAGGAAATATACAGTTATACAAAACTACGTTCCTCATAAACAGCGCAGACCCAGTAGAGAAGGAAGGTGGTCTACTAACAACTCCAAACACTAATAAGACCCCAAATGGTGACATCAAAATCCCAATGAATACTATGAATGCAAGCAGAGCTAGGGGAAAATGACGCAGGAAGAAAACTCACCATAGGTATAAGGGTGTTCAGTGGAATGAAAAAAGAGAACTATTCGCAGAACTCTGCACCCTTGACTATTTGGTGATTGGGGGCAGCGTATATTAGCACAAAAACATGAACAAAAGACCGTGCGTTCCACCAGTTGGATACACCAAAAATAAGACAAACTTCATTTCATTGAAGCTGCAAAGAGCACCGCTTCAGCCATCAGGAAAAAGTCGAAGGCATGAGCCAGTATCACCGACTCTTGGATAAAAGTAGAAGTTATGAAGGTCAAGCCAGCAGAACCCGATGAAATCACCTCCAGAAGCAATGAAACGGAATTATAAACCTCAGTGGATATTCTCATGCCGCTGCTGCACAAAGTGTGGACGGAAAGAAAGATACCTGTCAATTAGAAGAAGGGCAAACTTGTCAAACTGCCAAAAGAGGGTGACTTAAGCCTGTAAAAGAACAAGAGGAACAATATACTCATACCCAATCCAAGCTAAATATAAATCCAAACCATCCTGAAAAGACTAGAAGATGAACTGGAGAGGAGCTGACCCAGAACAGGATGGATTCAGGAAAAACAAGTCACGTGCCAGTCAAACTGTAACAATACGCAACATCATAGAACAGCAGTTCATTTTGCATCTCAAGTTTATCGACATAGAAGTAATTGAGCGACAGCTGTCTTTACCCGATGATGAAGATCAAATTACTAGAAAGGATGCGCAACAAGGAACTTTGGCAACAAACCCGTAATGATCCTACTACCCAACAAATGCACGAAAGGAAATGGAGATTATTATTATTATTTCCTTTAATTCCTAGAGGAACATAGGGCTTCACCTGAGCACCTCCACTGCCTTCTGCCTGTTTCCTGCCAACTTTTTCACCCCGCTCCAAGTCTGCCCACACGCCCTCATCTCCTCTTCACATGAACTCCTCCAAGTCACCCTGACACTGACGACCAACTCGCCACTTCCTTTTCGGGTTCCACCCGAGTAATGGCTTGTCTAGTGACGTCACTTGATGGTTTCCTCAGCGTATGGCCAATCCATCTCCATTTCCTCCTGCCTATTTGTTTCACAATCGGTTCCTGGTTGGTTCGCTCATTGCCATAGATCCCTGTTGCTGATCTTTTCTGGCCATCTGATCTTGAGTATTGAGCGAAGACAACTGTTAATGAAGGTCTGAAGTTTGTTTGAGATGCTCTTTATGACGCGCCAAGTCTCTGATCCGTATAGTAGCACTGACTTCACATTGAAGTTGAAAATCCGGATCTTATTTTCATTTTCATGCTGATTGCTGTTGACCTTCACACAGACTTAAGAGTAATGAAAGCTTGTCTTGCTTTTCCGATTCTGGCTTTGATATTCTCGTCAGTTCCGCCTGTAGTTGAAACGATGGAGATGAACTAAGCATATTCTGAAGATATCACTGAATGACATCACATCTAAGCCCCAGAGTGGAATGGGGAAGTGATAAGTTGGACCTCCAAGAGGGACAAAGAGATCGCATGAAGAGGAAATGAAAACTTTTCAACAATCGTATAGCCGGCTGAAAGTGATAGCATAGAATCGAATGCAATGGTGACAAACCACTGAGGTCCTATTTTTCATTTGGAAGACAAAGAGGAACATCAATATTATTAGTGACAGTAGTATAGTTCTGCAGTACCATTTCGAGCTTGTTGTACTGAAACTAATTTTTTCGATGGTGTCAATTATGTGGTTACTGTGCTGTTAATTTCATCTTGCAAAGGCTTATGAAAATCAAAATAGCGACACAAACTTCAAAATTAAATGACGAACCCGAATCACATTACGCAGATATAAAAACATAATTTAGATAGTTTCCTTTTCATTTTGAACGGAAGATTCCTATATTGAGTCATAAACAAAATAAAACTGTCCAGCCTGGTTAGCCAGATGAGACAAAAGCGATCACCATTAGTTCCATCCTCGAACACCTCGCCAACTTTGGAAATTGGGCACCTGCACATTATCGCTTCATATTGCTACACTTCGAATATGCCATTTACACATGGTCGAGTCACTAGCTATTCGGGACCTAGAACCTGACCTCTGCGTTTGAAAACACTGCATACACTCACTCACCTTACTGTGGTCGGAGTCACGTCGTTGCCATAATTTTGTTTCACTTTATTGTTTTTGTTCATGATTATTTTATAATAATTATTTTTATCACTATTCTTGTCTACTTCTAGGACGGATTTATATATAAACACTACCGCATTCCCATAGCTTTCGTATATTTGGATTGAGTCACTTTTTACATTTATCAAGTATTCCCAATTCCTGTGTTTAGTCTCCACTTAGTCATCTAGAATACATTTTTCTAGAACATACCAGTATCGGCTTGGTTTTATGAACTCTGTTAAACAAAACTGCCAATGTATAGCTCCTAAGGATGATTCAACGAAAAGGCAAATCTCTTTTCTATGCACCTGTCAATCCATAATTTCGCACTACCAAATACATGTATTCCCTGAATTCGAAATACTCGTCACCATCTTCAGTAGAAACGAAGTACTCAATTATTTTACTGTACTATTTATCCTGTGTCTACACTGGTTTATTACTGAAAACGTGTAGACACAGAGCTCAATGGATGTTAAGTCTTTCAAGCACCGGAGTGTTACTTAATTAGATCGCTGTCGACGAATAACCAGAATGTACTACTATCACTGTACACAAGCAATCAACTGTTGGGGCGGAAAAGTTCGAATTCCAGTATTAGGTGAAAAAATCAATCCCAAGACCATAGTCGACTATACAATCAGATATACATATAATTCTGCAAAGCACTTAATTATTGCGTAAATATATCAGGTAAAGTAAGATTACAATTTTCTTAATGACTACACAGTAAGATTAGTCATCCTGTAATGATGTCAAAAACAGATGCCGTCACTTTTATTTATTCTACTATTTTACAGGGGCAAGAACAAACCTTTTTATTATTTCCAAGCAATATCCACTATATTTATCACGACAGTGTAATACGTATAACCGCACGAAAGTCCATCCTAGAGTGACGAATAAGTATTGTGATGTTTTTAGATGATATACAACTTCTGGTATACGAGAAAGGTTAGAATTACGAAATCACACGTATGCAAATTTTACTCCTTATACCTTTATACACTACTAATTAACCGAAGATCTCAATTTAGTGTTTTACAAAATTTATTAATGATCCAACTTGAAAATAAACTATTATACAAAAATAAAACAGAACATGATGTGTTCAAATATCTAGGTCATCGTCTGGATCTTCATCATCTAGGTCATCAAAACAATCCGGTTGGTATTGAATATTGCAACTAGCGTCATTTGTTCCAGATTTACTGGCTAAACGTGCTGCTTCATGTGGTAAAACCACAAGACTACGCGCGGCTTTTTCACTTTCACTCATTGTCAATTCAAAAGTACTCTGAGGTAGTGGATTACTTATTGGTGTAAAATCCGGTTCATTTTTATGCAAAGAGAACTTTAAAATCCTTAGAGTCTGAGTATCAAGTTCGATAATACCGTTTTCTGAAAATGAAGACTTATTAAAGGCTAACATATTACTCGAGCTTTTATTACATTCACCTTGAAGACTTCGACGATGAAATAAACTGATCGACTGGGAGATCCGGTTTCTACAAATATTTGACTTATCCAATGAACTAGAGTGAATAACTGACGTAGCACATGCTTCCAATATGTCAATAGTCGTAGAAGATGCACCATAATATACTCCTTTAGAATTATCCATGATAGGATGAAAGCGACAAATGATTCTGTAAACATTAGGTATCGATGAAAGATTGAATAGTGAACCCACAATAAATTGACACCAATGATCAAATTCATAATCAGCAGGACAGTCAAACAGAAACCAAGATAAAGACTCTATGAAAATGAACAGACGTTGATTATCTTGTTTTTCAACAGTGTAAGATAATTTAGATAAGCTGTCTATGAGGTATTCAGAATTCGGATAATTATTTGTATGTAAAATTTTGAGTGACTGATGACAATTCTCCAAAGGTTCATAGTCGCACAGTCCAGAGGTAATTATTAAGCAAGCGTACTTTCTACTGTTTTCGTTTATCAAACATTTCCACAGCCAATTATCAATACTTTGAAACTCAGGGCACTTGTCAATGTAGGCGATGAAGGAAGATGGTATATTACTGAGTAGTAAATCAAGGCAGTGTTGCTTCCCCATTGGATGGAATATATGGAGATAATTCAATTAAAAGTCAGTTAGAGAGTTGTGAATTTGATTAATCCCATCGGAATCTGGAAAAAAATCAAATATGGCCAATAGCGAGTAAATTAAAAGTAGTACTAAAATATTTCTGTAACTTTGTTATATATTTCAATGAAGTTTTCGTCACGAACCAACACTAGATGGATATCATTGACAACCAGAGAGCACTACACAGTCGCTTCTTCCTCACTTGGGGCTCTTCATCAGTGCAAATCCATGACTCCACGAGCAGTAGAGCCCAGAACGTTCAGATTAAGGGACCAAGCTTATTGACCATTCAGCCACAGCTATCCAGTGCTCCTTGGTCATCAGTGATATCCATCTGATATTGTTTCGTGGCGAAATCTACATTGAAATTTATCCAAATCCTGAAAAACCCGTAATCTAAATGTTATATATATACATATATATATATTTAAAAAAATGAGACTTTAATAAGACTAAAACAGCAAGGATTATTTCCCGTCTGGTCAATATCACTTAAGAATCTACTTATAAAAATACTCACTCAAGTAGCAAATACGTGTGACAGCATTGAGTAAACCACAATTACCTTATTGATCAGCCCTTTGCAAGCATTTCATTCTGTTTTTGTGGTCTCCTTAAGTCACATACGTCTTTAGAGATGAGCTAATTTCACCAAGTATATTAATTCACTATACTATCCAAAAGTTATATAAGTTCAAAAACAGTAAAGTCACACAAACATGCAAATACCTTCAAATATGTTGTATCAATTTTCTTAAAAGCCTGTAAACAACTACAAATTACATCTTGAGAAATCTTCCAAAAGTTTGTATACGTTACTGAGTGGTCAAACTAAGGAATAGAAAGTAGCTTCCATATATAGACAGTTATCAATACAACTTTAAAACTGTGAAAACAGTAAGAGATAGGACAGAAACGAAACTAAGAGATGCATGGAGTGGAGCGTGACATCATATTTCACGTGTTATAAGGGTTTAAACGGACATACAGGCACCCCGTTCTCATTCATTCGGATCTTAGAGGCATAAAATCATTTTGAACGCAGTGTTCAACCGTTGTGCAACTATTAAGCTACTGAAGAGACCTGACTCACTACCTTAAGTACTCCAGTTTCAATTCGTGGGTCCTGGTCTCGAATTCTGCCAAACCTCCACCAGATTGGACAACTGGATAGAATCACTAGCCATCACACAATAAGAGCATCTCATAAACTGGCACTTGACAGCTACTTCGTCTTAGTTTGGGAGTCTTTTGCAATGAGCGCCAATGTCATTTCGTGACGAGAACTACACCGAAATTCGTCGAAATCCCAACAAAGCCAAAAAAATTGAATACCAGTCACCTTATTTGTGGCTACAGGATGGATGTCCTGAAGTTTTAGTGGGAAGTCGTGGACGAGGAAGCCCGGAAGGTAGGATGTGAAGCAGATGCTTGTTGGTGGAGATCTTTCGTGATGCCTTTTTAACACGTATTCAGAATCCATACTTCTTCATACGGAGGGACTTGGGGAAAATCCACATTAGGTGTGGTGAATTGGTTATTTAGTTTATTCAAGTGAATTGTGATTCTTAGATGTGCATACAAATCCAACTCCTAAAGAATAAACTTATATACGATAAATAACTTCAAAAGCTCTGTTAATGTCCACCTAGCGTTCTGTATCAACAGGGTGAGCTACATATCACTTTCGTGTCTTTCGCCTAATTATGCTGGATGATCTCTGAAAACTTGACAATAAAGTTATCTAACCGTACACCCAGTGGAAATTGTTCCATAGAAGATAAATATTAAGCACATGAAGAAAGAGAAAATAGGTGGCTTTTATTCTGAAAACTATTTGTTGATTGTACAATAAACAGCAGCAAGTAGCTTCATTAAAAGCGTTTGTAAACACTGCTCTCAGGTAGTGATCTAATTTCTCAGACGTATACGCGCTAACTCATAGACTGACATTCAAACTGATCCATCACCCTAGGAATTTGCATGAAAGTGACACTAAAAGATGCTTCACAATGAACCAAAGTGACATTATAAAAAGAACGTAACGATACTGTAAGAGGAAAGCGCAGGTGTGACGAGAACCATCATATGAAAACTAATGAAGCTCATGAAAACCTACATAATAAATAAAGAATACATCTGTACATGCAAACAAGAGCAACCAGTCACTGATTCGTGGCATTTTAAGAACTCCAGAATATTATTTAAGCTCATGCAGGAACGGTTATTTCCCATCGAATAGCGTCACCAGCAGAAAACTGACTCATCTTTATCTAGGTTGTAACGAAGTGACACCTCTGGAGAAGCGATCTCGGGCTGCAACCAGTACTCCGTTTTATAGCTAAAGTTATTTATATGCCAAGTTCAAAATGAACTAACCAAAAAAAAATCTTCTGGTACTCAGAGGGTTAATTTTAGCGTGTCATCTGAACTGATGACGACCAGTGGTATCCGTCAAGGATGCCCATTATCTCCTTTTCTATTCAACTTCATCATAGATGCACTAATGGACTTAACCCTAACTAGCTTCAGCGACTCAGGGATTGACTTGCTACCAGGGAATAATCTCGTTGACTTGGAATATGCAGACGATATAGTCCTTCTAGGCGAAGACGCTGACGAAATGCAGAGTCTTCTAAACACCTTGAGCTGTAATCTACGAATGTTTGTAATGCGATTCGCTCCCGCCAAATGCAAGATGATGTTACAGGACTGGACTACATCGACGCCTAGTTTAAAAATAGGAAGTGAAGTGGTAGAGCACGTTGACCGCTTCACTTATTTGGGAAGTACCATCAGCCAGTGCCAAGGCGTTGATCTCTGACGAAATCTCAGTACGAATACAGGGGGCTCGTTTTGCATTTGCCAGTTTACGCCGACTCTGGCGTAGACGAGATGTTCGACTATCGACCAAAGGGCGGGTGTATTGCTCATCAGTCCGCTCCGTCCTCCTTTATGGCTGCTAGTGAGACCTGGCCACTGAGAGTGGAAGACATGAAAAGACTAGCTGTCTTTGATCACAGGTGCCTGCGCTCTATTTCCCATGTAAAGTGGCATAATAAGGTGAGCAACATTGAAGTTAGGCGTCGAGTGCTAGGTAAACAGGGGAAATCAATCGACGAAGTCGTGAAGTTACAAAGACTGAGATGGTTAGGACATGTGTTACGTATGCCAAGCCATCGCCTCCCTCGACGAGCAATGTTAGCGGATATATGGTCAGGCTGGAAAAAAGCTAGCGGAGGTCAAACAAAAACTTGGCACCAGTCAATGAAATCCACAACAGTTGGTCTAAGCCACGTAGGAAGGTGTAGACTTCCAGGCTGGGGTCCTCGGGACGGTAAAAATCAATGGTTGGAAACAATTGGTGACATGGCTCAAAATCGTTCTCAGTGGCGCAGATGCATCCACTCCTTGTGACTCATGATCTCCAATGAAATGGCTTTGTTTTCCTTATTACTCCTTTGTCTCACACCTCTGCTCACTGTTTCTATTATGCTTTTCTTGTACTTTCTTCTCTTACTTCGCGTGCTACACGGAGTGTGGCGACTTGAACTTCCGCACATTTGTGCAAAGTTCTATGTCGAAAACAGACAGACAATTTTGGCGTGTTCACCTCAACAGAAATGTAGGTTTAAGTAAATACACATGCATACACTTGCCCCACGGTTGCTAAATACATTTGTACGTGCTAGTGCCAATTGTTCGAATTAACAACCCCCAGGACCATAACACCCCGAAGTGTGACAAAGCGGTTTCAAAGTACTTAGAATGGTGTTTCAGCGTTTGCTACGTCTTTCTTTAAAGCTGAGAAATCCCTTTATGAAAATAAAACGAAAAACGGGGAAATATTAAAAATATCACATGCAATATTCTCAAATAACCGACTTCATAAACTAAGTTGATGGATCCTAGTTCACCACACATATTAAGTGTGAATTACATACATCTGTGTTTCTGGCAGACTATATTTTAGTGATACACATGAAAAATGTAAGCACGGGAAACTGTAGAATGCAGTTCAGTGGATCAGACCACCAAAATGCAAGTGAATATAAATGGCACAATACTAAATATCTCAGTCAAAAGAATATTGGGCATTCCGTAATCAGTTTAAAATTCTATACGCCTAATGTGTCTATAGACAAAGAATTAACGACATTCTAAGAAAATTTGCATTGACAAAATCCTCAAGTTATATTCAAAAACATATCAACAAGTCATTCAAAAAGTATCTGAGGTAGTTCTAGACTGAGACTAATTTTTCTTGTTTACAGCTTGATTACATACCGTATTTCTTTGGTACAGGTATGTAATTTTCAGCATGGATATCGGTAGCCCAAATTTTGCAGGCTGCCCATAGATATCAGGTGTGCGTCGGCAGGGGATTGAAAACCGGACCATGTGCATGGTCGGCGAGTCCTAAAAATTGTGCCACCGACGGTTAGTCGTGCTTTATGAGACAGCTGGGTGCTGAATTAAGTCTTTGTTCCGAAATATCTCCTGTGAGGACTGGGACGACGCTGATAAGCAAGTACAGTAGGTTCTGATCTACTCCTGAAAATGCCTAGAAAAATAACATGGTGCTGAATTAGTGCCAGTCATGCAGAAAACCAGCACTCAGCTCTAATGACACGTGTCATTAAAGAATCCATTTCAAAACAGATTCAGAATTTACTCACTATAGAATGTTAGAATTACTTCAGAATCAGTGAGATTTAATTCAGAATTATAGTATACTGTAAGCTTAGGGAGATGAGAATATGTGTGTAAAGTTGAAATGATCAAAGATCCTCTTGGTAAAAATATAGTAAAAACGGGGAAATCGATTATTTTTATCGAAAGTAATGTAGATAAGTTCACCATAAATAAGAAATAACTGGATAATCACCATACCATGAATGTCAATATCTTTGCTGTAACGCAAAATTCGAAATTCCTAACGCCTATAAAACATCCAATCCAGATTT